CCTCGTGTCCTCTAGCTTTTCTACAAATTTTCTAAATTGCATTATAATTCTTTAATCGTCGAAAAATGGTTGAGCGAATTACGTATGCACATACAGTAGTTCACCAAAGTGTTCGAACACGTTTTAAAACAGAATAACTTTTAAGAATATAATTTTCTGTGAGAAGTTCGAAGACTTACTACGTAACGTTTAAAACATTTGTTCGAATCGCGAAGGAAAAAGTGAACCTCACGTTTTCAACTTTACGTAGTTTAAAATTATATCTTTTGGTTCAACATTAAAAAAAATATTTCCTGTTCAAAGGTGTTCGAATACTGTTGTAAATTATTGTATATGAAATAAATAAGTTGAACGAGGAACAGTACAAGAAGTGGCCTTGCTAATGTATAATCAGTGAAAAAGTACAGAGACAATTATCGTTAGACTCGTATTATTAGTAAAGATAAACCGCAAATGAACAATTTTTTTTATCACGTCGCTTTAATTGATGCTACCATTCTAGCTGTAACTCGCTGTTTCTTTTAATCGCAAGACCTTCGGGCGGTCACGTTAAGTAACACGTACACGAATTCGCAACACGATCAGCTCCACGAACGACTATAAATGGGGGCTTAATACACAGCTGCCTAAAGTGGTCTTTAAGCTGATCAACGATATAGCAGAGGACCACTAAAGTGGCCTTTGTCAGTTGAAGCATAAGATCATCGATTTCTTACGCTGCCCACGCGCGTCCCAGTCGGCAAAACATTTAACAAACGCGATTACAATAAACTGATAAGAATCGAATTCGTTGATATCGCCGATTCTGGATATGTCAGCCGCTTTTCACCTTCGGACAAATTCGAGTTTTGTCGAGTAGCTGGCGAACCGAATGTTTCGTCGAGCCACGTTTCCGTCTCTTCGAATCTTTGTTTTCTCTGAGAAAAGGCACGTTTGGTTCGAGGAATCGTAAAATTGTTTAGGAATAGTAGGGACCGTAGGCTGCGTATTACACGTAGCCGTCCGCGTCCAGCTTCAAGGCGGCCTCGTAAGAAGGCAGTCCCTCGTCGGTGATTTCTTGCTCCGTAGCCTCGTTGCTATCCGTGGATCTCACGGTCGAGCTCAGGCCTAGCAACGTGGACACCATGGTAGGAATTATAGTGCCAGGCGTGTCCGCGCCGTCAGGCTTTTTGTCGATGGTGTTGGGCAGGCTCTTCGGATCGAAGATCAGACTGTCGTAAGTCGGAGGTGGTCCAGGGCCAGAGCTGGGTGTCACGGGGCACGGAAGGGACCCATACGTGTTCTCGTCCTGATTCCCTTCGATGGTCGATTGTCTATCGCAGCACTGGCAAAACAGATGAAGAAAGAAAATTAAAACAGTTTTCGATCGATGATGTTCTATTACGAACAGAGATTACAGGAATTCATTGTAGGCACCGGCTTATATAAGCTTTAATTATTCATCGCTGCCCATCTCGACATTAAATTGTATAGAGTCTAGACGCTAATTAGCATCCCACAGTGTAATTATTCCGTCCGAGTCAGAAACATCGAACCGTGTCAGTGTCCAGAGTATCCTTTCTTAGGTAACGTTCGCGTATTACATTTTATTCTGTTTCGCTTTTATAGAAAGGGGCTATCAAGTTTTTAAATTATCGCTCGCTACCTAAATCCAGCTTGATCCGAGCGGACCGCGGATAGTTTGTATCTCGTCTATCCTATTTTAACTGAATCTTCTTATATAATGCGTCGGTTAAATGCATCGGGTTCGTGAACGAGAATCGTAATGTGCTGAATACACACTGTATCCGCTTGCTATTGACCCTCTCTGGTTCGTTTACGCGTTTCCAATCGAATGTTTCGTATTCACTTTAATCGTTTATTAATCCGGCACACGCGATCTTCTATTAGACACCCAGATACTTCATGATTCATATTTCTTGTTGTACAATCGACTTTTAATAAACAAGCCATGAGTCTCGTAATTCAAAAATTTTTACAAATCTTTGTACATTCGACAACATTTCAACAAACATTTCAAAAGTGGATAACTTTCAATGTTGGAATTAATTTTCGTTTTAGTGTTTAAAATTAACAAAGCTATAGATTGAACTTACGAATAGAAAAGTGAAGGGTAGAATTTTTCTGTTTTTACTTATGAATTTCACTACATATCAGTATGTTCACGCGCGTCATTAAAAGAATTACGAGAACACTATTGGTTTTGATTAATTAAACTGAACGATGAGGATCACTCACAGCGGCGTGCGCTTCTGTGGTGAAGACTTCGAGACTGTGCACGTCTGGTTCCGTTCTCCAATACTGCGGATATTCTTGCGGTCGGTTCTTCCGGATACTCTTGTGACAGCAGTAACACATCAGGAAGACGACCATAATCACGCCGCTAAGCATCGCTCTGCAAGAACGTAAATCCCGTGCCGCGAGTTAGTACGGCATAAGCGTCGGTTAAGAGAGAAATAGAGGAGATCATCGAGCGTATATATTTAGCACGCGTCAACCTTTTCCGGCATGGTTGAGACCGCTTTAGAACACCTTGCGGCACGGTTTGCCGTATTATCGGCTTTAGATGGGCTCGCGGCACCAAAATAATTAAGTTAAACGAATCACCCTCTCTATTATAGGCGACGGGAATCGATACTGTCTTCTTTATCATGGCGCGCCCATCGAGGAAGCGATTACTGCTAGAAAAGTGAGTAAACAGATACACCTCGATCGTCCGATTTAACTAATCAAGCTCAAACTGTAAAAATAACTGTCCGCCGTTTAATAATTCTAGCTTAGAACTCCTCCATACCAGTACAATAATCGCTTTCGCTCGCCCTGATTCTGTTCCCGTTTTTTTGGAAGAAATTAGTATAACGACGATCAGGATAAGCGGTGGCATCCGTCCGCGCAGGGATACGTGGATAAAAAGACGAGCCTGCGATTTCACGGTTCGTCGAACCAATTTCTGCGATTCAACTTTACTACTGTGTCAAACCGGAAACTGGCTCCCATTCGAGTCGACACGTTCGACTTTGTACGAGAGTTTCGCGGAACGTTCCATCCTAGAAGCACGCCGCGTGACTTAGACATTTTATTAAATCTAAGCATTTTAGGCATTAAACTAAATTAGGCATTTTAGGCATTAAACTAAATTACGCATTTTATTATATTAAACCACGAAAAGCTTTACCGTGTAGTAATCGAGTTTAAGAAACACTGATCTAATGATTTACTCAGTAAATATGGTCTATCGTGTAGAAAGGAGGCTAGGCCGTACTCGCCGGATGTTATCTTTTCTTTACCGTGCCCGGAGAAGTCGTAAGAAAGTTCCGTAAACTTTAATTAAACGAAGAGTCGCGTCGCAGTGATTAAAGGAATTCCTCCTCATTTAAATATAAAAAAAACTATGCAAATCTCGTTGGGACGCGTCATTAGATTCCGGATTTTACGTCTTCTCACATGAACGAGCGATGTTTAAAATTTAAATAAATCGTGCTCATGTTTCCCGATGTTATATAACGCGGATCGATGAATCGACAAAGCTGTTGAATATAAAAATATGTACCCGTAACATTTAATCTACATTGCTATTAATAACGATCACGAGGAAATGGATGAATCGTTATGACTCAATCAACGACATATCATAGTTTTTATATTTCATATCCTTTGCACGGAATAGAAGATAAAATTGAAGTTCTGAATAATAAAAGTAATAAGCATAATTTCTAACTTTGATTGATCGTGAATCAGTAAACGATATCGAGTATCGTTTCCTCGTCGTTCAAAACTTGGCTGACTCACCCGCCAAGAAGAATATTAACGTTCCCGTGTAAATCGGTTTCGAAGTGACTCGTCTTGCTAGCCGTCGTGGTGACATTGTATCCCGGTGAAATAGGCACGACTTCGTGTACGCTTGTACCATTGCGCTTGTTGGTTGCTTCTATCGTAGCCAGCATCGTCATCGTTCGTCGTACCGTCATCCTGGAACGTTTACCTCCTTATGCGGTTTGTCGTTCTCGTAAATTCAAGACATGTAGTCTTACTCGGATTATTCTAGTTCCGACATTCAGTTTCCTGCGCGTATCAAAAGTTGATAGTATTATTTTACGATGAGTAGACCGCGGATTTTTATGTAGAATAAAAGTCTTAGGGTATCAATTTAACAAATGATATTTAGTAACAGTGTCAATCAATGGAATACATTTTGCTGTTGATACTTTGTATATACATTTTGCTGTTGATACCATATGCGTTTTTTTACATACCTTATTTTGCTATAAATGCATAAAATCCGCAGTCTAATAACGACGGTAGATAGAATTCTTTAATAGGTAAAATTGAGCTCGCAAACTTTGCCCTGTTTCAAACACGTGTCAATGTGAATTCGTCGTCCACCTTGAAACGTAAAAAAAGAGAAGAAGCAGGGGGGACCTTTTCGAGACAGTTAGGGTGCAGCGGCTTATTGATCACGCCCTTTGTGAGAATTCTAGATAGGATCCACCCCTTACCTTTTCGTCCGTGGTTTCAAGTCTTGGGTCATTTTCGAACGTCTCGATTACGCTGTATTCGAGGCTGGTACCGCTTTACTTCCCCGGCGATTATTCGGTCTTCGATCCTTCACGGTTTCCCTAGTTTCAGATGCTCGTTTTTCTCGCATACCTCGGACTTTATCTATACAAGTTTAAATCGGTACTTTTTAGGCTTTCGATCCCTCGGCTCTGTTCAACCTGTTCGCATTCTTTCACGACGTTCGCTACGGGAGAACAATAAAATTGGAAATGGAGATCATCCTCGATTTCTAAAAGAACGGGTCAGCTAGTAATACTATGAGAAAGTCTCTCATCATTATTGTCGACCTTAATCTCGATATATAAGTTTAATAGTAAAAGAATTCTGTTTCCCGATGTCGTTTACATATCCTATTAGAATTGACTGCATTGACGTAAGAGAATTTCATTAACTAAAAATAGATAATATTCGATTTCCGATTATTCCTATTTATTTATTATTAAACATCGAGAAGAAAGTTGATCACGATTATCTTCCTTTACATTATAATTAGACTGTGGATTTTTATGCTACATGAAACATTCCTGGTATCAGTTTAAAAAATATATTCTAGATATTTTCTATGATCGCATGAGATTAATTATAATCTCTCGATTGAAGGAGAGAGTAGATGGTAGAAACTGCAGTGGGAAAGAATTCGCGTGGAAGCAAGGTGAATGGAAAACCTCGATTAAATGCGAAGAACGTTCTGACATCGAAATTTATATATGTAGGCATACGTCCCAGTTCTACAGGCGCACGTTCCTCCCAATGGGAAATAAAGCTCGAACTTGAATGCATGTATAATTAACACCTTGACACGGTATTAAAATAGCTAACGGTGTTCATCAAGATTTCGAGCATGTGTGCGAGTCTCTGTCATTTACTACTTTAACACATCTTGATACTAATTGTTCATAAAATACTCAGCTTGAGACATACTCCTCGTTTAATTATTCAATTTGTTTGTGACGTTGTGCCAGTAATGATTTTCTTCCCTTTAAACTAAAATCTTAAAATACAGAATTAGAAAATTATCTTCGATGAAATCGTTTCGAAAGACCGTTTGGTCTGCTCCTTCCTTTTTCTGAGTCAAGAATATTTGCGAAAGGGATGAGTAAAAAAATATGCTTGGCGCACGCGATGCAAGCTACATTATTCGAACGAGCAGAGCTTCTCTATAGTTCTTGCGCCATTTGTTTCGTCCTTCACAAGCGTGCGATCGATTTATGTCGTGCCTACTCAATTGACGAAACTTTTAGTCTGCCAGAGTCTATTATGAAACCTGATGATTTTTAATTTTTAATATCCTACAAAATAATCTATACATATTTATGTTTTCCTATAATCTTCGAGGGTTTGCAAATCTGTTATGTACACGAACATTGATCGAATGCATACAAGTGTTCTCCCGGCGATCAATCTACGGCAATCAAATCATCGTGAATAATTGCTACGATTGATCTCCCATCAAATCAATCGTCAAATGTACATGATCGTTTCTGATCGTCTCGTATGCCATTGCAAGATTTTCTATACGTCGTAAAAACTTCACTAGATATTCAGCGTACCGAAAGTATCACAAGACCGTCTGTTCAAATAACTTTACATAACTCGTCAACCTACTCAATAAATTAACGTCTGTCGAGCTGCATCATAGACGAATTCAATGTTCAAGCAATTAACGAGGTTCGAGTTTCAAAAAGTCAATTAGTACCAGCGATTACTTCATTAATTTCTATCTCTGTCAATGATTTTAATTGGACCGTTTTAACATATTGTTCCACTTTCGAACATCCCGTTCGTTCCGAACAAATCGCTCGCTCAAAGATAACGTCAATCCTTTTTATCATTTCGTACGTGAAAAAAGGGTGTCAATCATCGTTCGCCTAATCTATTAAATTCGATCGACCGTCGAGTTTATTTTGTTTATTTGGAAACGCGACATGAAACGTGTACGTACAAGCGTTCCCTCGGGTTCCTCCTCAGCTATCGCGGGCCACCACATCTGTCCTCCGTGTAGCGCCCCGGCGGCGGCGTCGGCATCGGCGACGAGGGACCTCGGAATGCAAAAAAGAAAAGGAAAAAAACGAAAAAATCGTCGGTCGAGGATCCCGATCCGCTCCCGTGACCGTTCCGTTTCGAACTATTACGCTGGTCATATTATGCGCGTTGCCAGGCTACGAGTCCAGGCGACGCCGCGACGACGACGTCGTCCGCTGCGGCGCACGCCGCGAAGCGTCGCGACGCCTCGCGTGGCAGGACGAACGGTTCGTTCCACTGACGTGGAATTGGAACGTGGCGGGACGAACATGACCAAAATGCTACTTGCCTATCCCTCTGCCCAGAGCAAGAGCTATGTAGGCTAAACGCCTAAGTATAAACGAGATTTCCTGTTCGCTCGTTTCTGCCAAATCATGTGCCTTCAGAATGGTGATGTTCTTTTCATATCGATTTTTCTATCTGGATCTTCGATCTCCACTTTCATTTAGAGCAAGGCTCGGGGTATACGTTTGACGCACGTGATAGATAAACGCAGCCAACACTAGAAGATAAGCTGTTTCCAAATTGCCTGTATTTTTAAACGCTATGAACTAGTCTGGAAATTATTGAACTATTAGTTATACATCAAATTTTATTACACATATTATTATATAATTCACCGATATAAATTGGTGAAAGCGTCGGCTTTCTAAATTAAATAGAAAAGAAATTCTTCACAAACTTATAAAACAAACAATAATAAGAAAGTAAAAGTTGTAAAAGACAAACTGAGAGGGGTTTCAATAATTGGTGTCAAGATTTACGTTATCAATATCGTGTGAATTGATAAGGAAGATCAATTTAATTAATAGAAGTGTCTGTAATATTGAATTATACTGCACATGTAGTATAATAATTATGAAATCGTTTATAGGATATCATTTCGTCGAACAGGCTTGGTCTCCAATCAGTAATGCAAACAACGTACAGAGTACATAAGATAGCTTTACACCAGCCTTTAAGTAAATTCGATAAGCTTTTTAGTTTTAACATTGAAATCGAGCAAAGTACAAAGGAATTTTAATTTCCATTTAAAATTAATCCTAATTATGTTAATAATTTTTTTACGATCATCTGTAGATATAGAACCATAAGGACGATGTATTATTTTCACGGCATCTGTAAGACACGCCTTGTAAAGAAAGACTAGGAGGCTTAATTGTACAAAAGTGAGTCACGTTAACCTGTGTATGAACGGAGTTCGCAATAAAGCAGCTCCTGTACTTAAAGTAGAAACCCTTTGTGATACTGGCTGTGTTCGACCCTTTTCGGCTTTGTACGCCACGAATTCAAGTCCTCTTGTAATAAAGCTTCTCTATTTCACTTGCCGTTTTTATCATTTAATTCATTGTTCCTATGTGAAATCGAGCCAATAGGAAATAGTCAAATAAATGGAGATAAAATAGGTACGTAATCTGTGACGTGTTTTATTGAAAGATCATAAAATAGATACTTGGGGTTTCGTGCTAAGACTGCCAATGACATAGTTTTGCAGAAATTAGTTAAATTCTTTATTGAATCGCGTATAAAAAAAATGACAATTTCAAATTCCAGCTGTTGTCTGTCCACCGAGACGAGTCAGTAAGAATAAACAAAACGTTTCACTTCCTCGTATGTCGTGGCTACAGTTATCCACTGTTGTTCGAGCGTCGATCACGTGCGTTTGTCTCGTTTCACAATCAGTTAGGCAGAAATGATTATAATAGCATTTGTACATGTATCAAAGTTTTCCATAAACCAAACTAATCAATCTACTGACAATATCTGTAAAAAAAAACCGCAGATAGCACGAGCTTTAATTCTTTATTAGAAAAGAAATTTTGAACACCAAAAATGTCTGTATTAGAAATGATTTTAGGTGCAAGAATGATTTAATGTGTACCGGAAATTATTAACCGGCATGTGTAAATTAATATTAACCGGAAACTTTCCTAATGCCTTACTCCACCTTTCAACCACCGATATGTTCCCGTAAAACTGCTATGAAACTTTCGTCTGTCCTTCGAGTCGATTCACCTTACCGCACAGGTTGTTCCAATCGATTTATATCCAGCGGTTATTCGTTAACACGAAAACTTTAGTTTCTCGATACACAATAGCAACCGTGACGAGCTTAGTCGCTTAGTGAGTACAGAACGTTGTAAGTCAGTTGCAGTGCACGACCAATGTGTGAAATTCCGAGATCTCTCTTTTCATTGAGAACGAACTATTTCCTTAAATTCGACGTCTTTTTTCAGAGTCATGTCGAAAGGTAAATTGAATAAAAAAAATTCTCTAAATTTTTCCATTCTTGATTTCGTTAATTTCATTGTGACTAACATAAATTTGATATTAAAACGTCTCTATGTTATTGAATTGTTATTACATTAGCTGCTTAGATTGTTTTCTGTCTCTATCAGAGATTAAACTGGATACTCCATCAGGCTTATACCGCTTAAAGGATAAGCCGATTTGGGTACTGAGAATCGCATTTATATACGGCCTCATTTGTGAGTGGTCGGCTAAACCACAAAATAATATTTCTTAAATTAGTCACTTACGACACTGCAGTTATCTTTGAAAAGTTCAAAACGATAAGGCGGGTCCAACGAAATTTTAAAGTAAACAATAAAAAATATAAGAAGAGATAAACGATAAGAATTTAAGATGTTTAAAGTTGTTTTCCTCGTCGTGCATGTAATTCAGTTAAAGAATGTTTAAAATAAGTATACGTGTACTCGATAACAATTGTGTAATTAGAGTTCTGTGTGGAATCGATCGGCTGTTCCTTCCTTACGTCGAGTACGAAATCATTTCTGTTTTACAGGCTCGCGAGGATGGTGGGCAGTGTGCCAAGCGGATGGATGAGGAAGATTCTCCTCTTCCTCGTCCTGATGACCGGGGTCCTGCTGATCGCTATGTACGCGCACGCTCCGCCGCTTGCTTCCCTACAACCATTCTCGTCACGACGGTGAGTAGGCGATAATAATATGTATGATACACGCGCGGCCGCAAACGAAGCGAGTCGATACTCCGGCCTTATTATCGCCTATTAAGCTCTAGACGGCACCACGTCGTTCTCGAGACTCCTGAATCAGCGCCGTACGATCGTTCCTTTCTTCACATCGACGAGGACCTTATCGTTCCTGAAGATCGTCGCAATTCTATTCTCACAACCAGAGGAATCCTAATCTTCTATCTTCTAAAATCGAATTCCTTTTAATCACGTTCATCATCCTCTGTGTGATCCTCACAAGTCCATTTATTTTCTATTGCATACGTGGTCTGACCGTGAAGTTACCTGACCGATGCTAGTTCAAAGTAAATTTGTTAATGCTGACGACGTCTCATACGTCTCTGTATCTAAGTCGTGCCCTGAACGCAGCTGGATTTGTAGTTTTATCTGATACTATGAAATTTTAGCTTGTCTGCTGTTTAATAATGTTCTTGTTCACAAGGGAATCGCGCGGAAGTTTCCCAGCGAGAAGGAAGTTCCGCGGCTTAATTAGTTATCTTATTCACCAGATTTAAGCCCCCAACTCCCGTGACTTACGTTCGTTCTAAAATTTATAGACATGTGTAAGACGACGTTAACACAAACGAAGTTACTTCGAGCTGACGTGTTAGCCAAAGTTGTGAGAACGTCGGACCATGTATAGAAATTATGCTATCGCTGTGGTATATGTAATTTTTATTCGTCCGAGAAAAAATGCGGATTTGTCGTTATTTCTTTAACTTTTATTTCTCACTTTTGTTGCCGCATCTCGTTTCGTTCATTACCTCCCGCACGACCGCTCGACAACCTCGATGATCGACATCAAAGACTGAAGGAGTTGCAACGAGGCTTGGTTACTTTCCTGGTCGGTAATGAAAGCACCAAGAGACCCGAAGAACGGCTCTACGAGTATCTGGAAGGGCCTAGGTAACGTCTTCCAAGACCCGGAGGGATACCTGTGCTTGCTAAAAGGCTTTCTTTTTTTGTCTCTCTATATACCCGGAAGTTTGCCACCTCATTGTCCAAAGGGATGATCCGTCATCTGCTTCATCGGCTGTTTTCATGTGGCGTTTGCTTTCCCCTTCGTATCCTCTGCATGCCGAGCGTACGTTTCATCCGCCGACCGCTCCATTTAGATAATTCGATTTCTACTTTTCACGATGATCGACGTATTTTCGATCGGTTGTTCGAGAACAAACTATTTTCCAAACCAGTATCTCGATTTTTGCTAGGAATGAAATTGTGACCAGGATGTATAGGATCTAAAGATATCCGTCTTGAAAAACTTTTCCTCGATTCTCTTTGTGGTTCTTCATCTTTGCTCCGCGTCACTCTCCTGTATTACATTTTTTTTATGAAGACAATAAAGATGACCCCGATATTCCCTGTATTATACTATACTCCTACAATTTGACCCGCGTCGCTTTAACCAACCCTCTCCGTTTGTCTCGCTATGTTTCAACGCAAATTATCCATCTGATGCTTGACAAAATACGAGGTCGTTAAAAGAGAAACTATGGAAATGGGAAGGATTCGTAAGATCATTAAGTTTCATCGAATTGACGGTCATCGGGGTCGCAGGACGTTTCAGAGCCCCTGGTCCTGGGCCTGCGTTGCCGGAAGATGCGAGAGGAGAGCGGTCAGATCGTCGAGAATCCCCTTGGCCAGTTGCATCGCTCTTTGCGGCGGAAACACCAGGCTTCTCTGGCCCAGGCCGACCGGAAATGTTTTCCTCGGCGAAGACAGTGTGACCGTACACTTGGAGCAAATCGAACTCGTTACGATGAACACCAGCGATCAGGAAACGAAGAATCTGCTGGAACACGCCAAGGATGTTTTCATCGGTAAATCTTTGCATACTTGGTACAGAATCATTGATTTCTATCATCGATATAAAAAGATTGTTTTTAATCATCGATACCTCGCGTTCCGCTTTTTTCCAGGGAACATCAGGGGCTTGGTGAAAGTGCAGAACGCCAAAAGTAGATCCGGAGTGGACACCTTTGTAATATATCTCTCTGCCGGAAACAGCCGGCCGATAGGACCAAGTTTAGAAACGGACGAGTCGTATACACTGGAACTGACGCCGAAAGGAAGAATCCTGGAGGCTCGGATAACAGGAAGAAGTTACTTCGGTGTCAGGCACGGCCTGGAGACGCTCGGTCAAATGATTTGGTGGGACGAGACCGCCGGAAGGGAAGGTTCCCTGCGAGTGCTGTCCCGCGCTTCCGTCGAGGACAAGCCGACGTTCCCCTACAGAGGATTGCTCGTCGATACGGGAAGACAGTTCTTCCCGATCGAACGGCTGAAGCGAGTAATCGACGGGATGGCGGCGTCCAAGTTGAACACGTTCCACTGGCATCTGACCGATTCGCAGAGCTTTCCTTTCGACTCGGCCCTGTTCCCGGAAATGGCCAGGTGGGGTGCATACGACGGGGATCAGATCTACACGCCCGACGACGTGAAGGATCTCGCGGATTACGCGAGGATACGTGGCGTCAGGGTGCTCGTTGAAATCGATTCTCCTGCACACGCTGGCGCCGGTTGGCAATGGGGTGAGTCTCTTTAATTTATTCAAAATAATTGTATTTTCCTCCATTAAAAAACGTTGTTACTTCAACCTCGATTATCCCGATCTCACTCCTTAACACAAGAGAAGTCATGTTCAACACCTAGCAATAGCTTCAGACGGTCCCACGCCGGCATTGATCTTGTTAATTTATATCAGGGACGGAGTACGGTTACGGGGAGCTGGCACTCTGCGTTGATCAGCAGCCATGGTCATCGTATTGCGGCGAGCCGAATTGCGGTCAGTTGAATCCTATCAACGAGCACACCTATCGAATATTGGAGGGACTGTACAAGGAGCTCCTGGACCTGACCGAGGTCCGGGACATCGTCCATCTTGGCGGGGACGAGGTGAATTTAGACTGTTGGGCCCAGTACGGTAATATAACAGCTGCGATGCAGACGCAGAATATGACGGACCATCACGCTATGTGGGCTGAATTCGAGACGAAGATGCTGCAGAGACTTGTCAAAGCTAACCACGACGAAACACCGAAGGCTGTGATCTTATGGAGTTCACCATTGACCAAGAGACCGTACATTACCATGTACTTCGATCCGAAGATTCATGTGATCCAGTCGTGGGGCGGTAGCAATTGGCCTGAAACGCCGGATCTTCTGGAAGATGGTTTCAGAGTGATCGTTTCGCACGTGGACGCTTGGTACCTAGACTGCGGCTTCGGAAGGTGGAGGGAGACCGGCGAGGCCGCCTGCGGGGAGTATCGTACTTGGCAGACGGTTTACAATCATCGGCCTTGGAGAGATTATCCCCAACAGCATTTGAATCTGGTTCTGGGCGGTGAAGCGGCCATCTGGAGTGAACAGACCGGCGAAGCGTCTTTAGGACCTCGACTATGGCCCAGGGCGTCAGCACTCGCCGAGAGATTGTGGTGAGTAAAGAATTTTTTATGAATAAGAAGCTTATTATTCATGTCGAACAATTTATTTATTTATCTTATACATGGTTTATTTGTATTTCCGCAGGAGCGACATGCCAACGAACGGTTATTCCACAGATGAGAACGTATATACGAGGCTAGCTGCGCACATGGAGCTTCTGAATAGCAGAGGTCTAAAAACGGAAGCCATGTGGCCCCAATGGTGCTCCCAAAATCCCGGCAAGTGTCTCTGACCGTTCGCTAGCCAGAACATAAACGCCTTCGACGGGAATTGTACGCGCGGATACGATAATTACGCGGACGAGAGTTATACGAGGAAGTTCTGTCCGACTCTCGTACTGGAACCGATAGAGTCTTTCGGAATTGCCAGTAGTTGGACAGTAATTTTTCTAATAACATTTTCTATACGTGACGAAGAAAATCGTTCGCGGTAGTATACATCGATACGATGGCGTCGATTCACGAAGATGTGGAAAAACTAGGACCACCTAGTAGTGCATGGCACTCAAAGAAAGAGGTCCTCCGTGAAGTCGAGGAAAGTATACTTAAGAATCAGAAGGGCAAGGAACTTACCGAGCGGTTTTGCATTTCTATCGATCACGCGAATGTTCTTGAAGTTTGTTTTTTCTGAATACGAGAAAAGAAATAGACAGGAATACTTGGTATTTGAGTACAAGACAAAGAACAGTATAAGGCGCAGGAAGGTAAACGAACTCAATCGACTCAAAGGCGCACGGGTGTGATACCTTACGGCGTTGCACAGTGCCTATACTGTAGCTCGATGCCATACTTTTCGTTCGAAGTGCCTTTCCAATTGTAATTCGACACGTTCTACAATTTCATATGTAAACACCGTACGCGTTCCTAATCAAATGTCTCGATGGTTGAAGTCGAGACCATCGCATCTCTTCGTAAACCTGTATTTAAGATAACAGTTGGATGTTTTCTACATCCTTTCTGTCGGATAGTACCATCTTCGAATGCCTTCTTTTGTACTTAAAACAAATTTCTTCGTAATAGTTTTCTTTTGAGATATCAAAAGTTCATCGAAAAATACTCCATTAAGTAAATAGAGTAGAAGACATCGAAGATGGTGAAATTGAGTGAGACACCCCGTACATTCGATTAACGAGCAAACAGACGTTCGACATAGGGAACAACGAATGATCCTGACGTTGGTTCTCCCCCATCAAGGAATTCCTGACGCCGGGAACCGGCAGTATTATTTCGCGTCACGTGATACAACGAAGCGTGGCCATCGAAAAACAAGAATGACGCCAGTCCGCGTAGGCTTCCCTCTTTAAACTGCCAGATCTAGGTCCTACATAGAACTCGCTGAACTCGAATTTATAAAAATGAATGGGTCGCCGAGACCCTAATACGCAAAGCGGTAAACCATCGAAGTATGTGAGAGCAAACGTGCAAGCATGTTCACTCTTTGACAGAATGAACACACACACCTGCAGATGTGTCGTGTAGCTCACACATATATCCTATGAAGCCAAAGAAACCGTAAAAACGACTTTGTACGACAATTTCCCTCTGTACCGAGAATCGAGTTGCAAGCGAAACCTTGTTAGACTATTTATAAATGATGTTTCTTATGAAGAAACTCTGAATCGAGAGCCGTTCAACAATTCTTGGAGAATTGTCGCGGATATGTTAAATCGTGCGTCCAATCTACACTTGGTGTATACTTTTTTTAAATAATCGTAATCACAAGGGTGCGTATTCCTCTTGATATTAACGAGATAGCGACGATCTTCTGAAATATAAAAACAAATGGCCTATTGATGAATTACGTAGAGCCGTGGACATATGTAAATAATGCCATCGCGAAATAGGATACGACTGAGGGAGTTAGTAGATATTTAACTGCAGAAGAAGGCAACTTACCGACATCGATGGCTGTAAAATAGAAGTGATTTTTAGACTCATCGAGTCTTTGGATCTGGAACGAGAAGTCATCCGCTCTATATACGTTCGGTTAAAGAAAATCATTTAGAATGTTGTCTATAAAATTGTTCTGCCAGAAGAAATGCGCGCGGATGATTTCTCGAGTTGATCCACGAAAAATACAATCCGTTGTAAAGTATGGTTGGTGTAAGTTTAAAATAAAATGAATTTTGAATATACGAGCTATCGTCTTTTCTCCCCACTCAAAGAATGTGTAACTCACATTCTCTATACTCTATATGTATGTGTATCTATCCACGATTAATGACTTCTAGACTGCTTTTCTGCAAATTAAACTTGTAGGGTATCAGTTTAAGAAATGATATTTCATAACAATTTACTTTAATCACTATATGTATTTTTCACGTTTTTTCTTCCATTTTTCATTTTGCTATAAATGCATAAAATCCGCTAACAATAAATTGCTTCTTCCCCGTCGTTGAAATAACTATTTTAATATCTGTCTACATGTAATACACAGTCTTTATCTAGTACATATAATTTACTGATCGATTGCTCCTTGGTGGTTCTATCAATATTGACCGGGATAGGGAAAGTGTTTGGACAATCATCCTCTTGATGGATGCGGTACACGATGGGCAAGTGATTTGCTTTATTGCATTTGTCCAGTAAACTAACGGACGGCAAATGCAATAAGTGAATTATCTTAGCATATTTTAATAAATATAATTATTTTTCCGTTTGCATCGATTTTATTCAAACAAATTCGATTGATCTAATTCATGTTCTAAAAATTGATCTATACTCTATTAAAAAATTGCATCATTGATAATAATTTATTACGTGTTATTAAATTCTTAAAAAATTAAATTTAAAGTAGAGAATGACAGGATGTAAAATCTATTGCACGTTTGATATTCATCAAAAAGGAGCACGCGCAGGTACGTATGTCTGATATATGATTGACTCTTTTCACTTCAAATCTGTTACGACTATGTAAAGCAAGGGCGAGGCAGGATCGCAAACATCCCCATGGCTATCGCAGCCCCTCGCTTGGTCACTTTAATCCAAGATCTCACAAGATTCACATCGTACTCTGTGCTACTTAGTACTTTATTTTCTTCCTCTCTCGGTGATACAAAAGATTCAAAAATGTATAACTAAGCGCTGAAGTATTGAGTCATTCGTAAAAATTTCGAAACTTTTTACCACGCTAATTATAAGTGTTACATAGTTCGGTATGACTTCGACAAAAGCCGAACCGGAAGGGTTCACAGCATCAGACGTGGAGCGCTTCTTCGATGAACAGAAGCAGAAATGCAGTGGACTGATAGCAGAATGTAAGTTCGTTCCAATGAACAATATTCTTCCCCAAAAATTCGTGTCAAGTAGTCGAATATTTTAAACAATTTGGAGTATAATAATGAATATTTCTAAGCAGATCTGAACATGACTGTAAGAAATGCGTTCAACGCGTCACAATTTCAACACTGTCCACCGCATTTCGACGGCTTGCTTTGCTGGCCGTACACCGAGTCCTCGATCACTGCTATTTTGCCCTGTCCTCCTGAAACTGGACCGATACAACATGTGGATTTCTACAGTTTCGAGTCGAATTTTGGCGACGCGATAATGGCAACAAAAGTTTGCCTCGCGAACGGCCAGTGGTACACGAATTCCTCTGACACTCTGTGGAGTAATTACAGTATGTGCGAAATGTCTGATGAATTTATTAATTACTTGGAGGCTGTCATAGACTTGGGAATGGAAATAATTTATTCTACGGACTATAGAAGACTATTGGCTGTAAGAATTGTGCACTTAAAAGTATAAAAGATCATATAGAAACATAATTGACATTGATTAATCTCTATTAAATAAAGACTCATCAAACTTAATTTCTATTTCCCATCAGAAATGGTTACCTATCGTCAGAATCGTGTCTCAAATCGGCTACGCCACGTCTTTCACGATGCTAGTGATCGCGATGATCATTTTTTCTTTACTGAGGTACGCGTCTTCTTCATAGACATATGAGAATAGGCCAAAATCTCAAATGAGATACTTGAGATCAAACGATTGTAATAATTTCTTTTTCTATCGAAAGACAGAAACTTCTCCAAAGCATGATTTCTCTATAGAAAAGCTTGGTCTATTATCTTATGTCTGTTGTCTATTTGCGTTTTCATCATTTCTGATTCTTATTTATAATAACGGGGACCGTTGCTATTCAGAAAACTGAAAAACCCGAGAAACAGACTGCACATGCACTTGTTCGCTTCTTTCATAATGAGAGCATTCATGGCGCTTGTCAGAGATTGGATCTTCGTCGACGGCATCGGACTCGCCGCGGACATTATCTACGTCGACGAGAAGAACGCTTTTATCAAGCAACGAAACGTAGGCATGTCAAAATCAGTTAAATTCCGTGGGAATAAGGAAATAAATAGCAGGTCCACGAGGGACGATGTATGTGCAATTAAAGTTAATTAGTTTCAGACGATTGTTTGCAAAGTGATTACCAGTGCCTGGCAGTATTTCATCGTTGCTAATTACTCTTGGATTCTTATGGAGGGCTTGTACTTGCACAATCTCGTCGTTCTCGCATTTTGTGCGGACAGTCCAGCGATCAATTTGTACATCCTGATGGGTTGGGGTAAGATGATACGAAAACCGTCACGCGTAATTATATCGAAATCTTTTAGCCACGTGATGACAATTAGATATCTTGAATGATTACGTGGATCCTTGCACGGTCGAAAGTATAATTGAAGACGTTGCCTCCTGTCTCTGATTAAGGTCTGCCTGTTTTCGTTGTCGTTCCTTGGATAATAATCCGAGCCACGATCGAAGACACGCTTTGCTGGACTACGCACAATACTCCTTTCGTTTTTCTACTTATAAGGATACCCATTATGATATCGATATTAGTAAGTGTCGTTCATCGAAGCTCGATAACAAAGATTATACAAAACAATTGAAATATTAGTTGAATTATTGCAATAGCAAGTAATACAACTAAATATACTTTATTAGTTCAACTTCCTGCTATTCGTCAACATAGTACGTGTTCTCTTCAGCAAATTTAAGACATCGGTACATTTACAACAAAAAAAGATGCAATACAGGTAATGCTAGTAGTTATGCCGTCTCGTTCGTTTCTCGTTTAATTGTATTATTTGATGAACGAAGCATTTTTTTCTATACAGTAGGTGGGCCAAGTCTACTCTGGTATTAGTACCACTGTTTGGAGCTCACTATGCTCTGTTTCTTGGTCTCTCTGCTCACAACGATCATCGCGTCGAACTGGTCTGGCTGTTCTGCGACCAATTCTTCGCCTCGTTTCAAGTATTCTCATTGTTTCAACTTAAAACACTGTATTGGTTTATTTATAATTTTCTAGAAAGATAAATCGGTCCTTCAGGGTACGTTCGTTGCTCTGCTTTACTGTTTACTGAACATGGAAGTCAGAACAGAGATCAAACGAGCCTGGCGAGTCAGATGGTCGAGGAACGTGAACGTTTACGTATCGGCGTGTCGAGGATCGAGAAACAGGAAGACTCATCGTCGAGGCAGGCAATCGAGAGACTATGATCACCCGACAGTCACCGGTACCAGTGTAAGGAATCCGTTCGTGCTGCAGGTCGATAGGAAATCTAACGACTTTTGAACGAACGTTTTAGAAATTAAGACAGAATAAAGAGAAATTCGAAAACTCGATTTTTTTATATGTGTAGTGCTTCAATTTTTCTGTGTTTCACTACTTCACGAACCTTGAGTGATCGACACTACTATTTATAATAAATCCAAGAATGATTGTGAATTGTGTAATATTTTATTCTTGACTTTGATTATTTTTTGTTTCATCAATGTTCCTTGGCCTGTTTCCCCACGTACAACTTATTTTACAAAACTTTTACTAAAATTTTGATGAATACTTTTGAGTATCAAGATTTTAAATCGTATTTAACATCAAAATACAATCAAAGAACAAAAATGATTTTTGCTCCGTGGCGTTAGATCCGAACTTAACTTGTTTAGTGGCAAACATGCAAACAATCCTAGAACGTGTTTCACAAAGAGCTGAACGGAGTCCATCCCATCTGCCTTTTTAAGAGCTTCTGTCAGAAAGTCGCGTGGCACGTGCCACTCGCGAGGGGCGAGAAAAGGCGTCGAAAGAGTAGAGCACCGATGAGCGAACTGTCTCATGACAGCTACGACCATAAGAAACATTAATCGAGGGCTGCTAGATTAGAGTGCGGTTCGCCTCGTCTCGCGGCGTAATTTATGACACGTGTTTCATAACGCGTACATTATACAATCGTGCGAAAGTGATTATCCGCAGTAGTATTTCACCCTTTACCGTACGATCCCCTGCAATTTGTCCGAACAATTTGTGTAATTATAGTGTTTGCCTCCGCGTCGTGTTACAAGGCTTACAAATATTTGTCACCAATATGTTTCTACTGTCGAATAAAAATGTATAAAAATATACGACATATAAATAGAATTGAATGTTCCACAAGAATTCCGTACATCTTCAACCACCGAATGGTTACCATTCGAAGCATTTGTTAAAAATCCCGTAGAAGCCAATACCGAAACTTAGAAGAAAGGAGTTTTAAAGAAGTTTTCACGTGAAACGGAAAAGAATTTTCTAAAATATTGTCACCACAGAGGCAATTGATTTCCTTTCGGCTCGGTTTAATCGGGTTACTCGATTTCTACCGAACCACTGAACTCTTTCGAGTCACTCGTTTCTCTCAAATACCCGACTCAGTTTTGACACCTTTAGGACACGGACGCCGAACGAGTTACATGATCGATAAAACGGTCCACCCATTCTCGCATCCGCATAAGGAGCAGGAAACTCTCGCATGCTCTGCAGAAACGGCGCAATGGCGACTGGTTCAGGGCGGTCGCATCCCTTATTTCCTACGATACGATTGGAGGACCGAGGGGATGCTGCGAGAGAGAGACAAACGGGGGATGAACAACGAGGGGACGTTTCCGGGGGTGTGGCCTCGGTGCCGATGAGATGATGCTAGAAATCGTTCCTCGGGGTTGCATCCTGCCCACGCGGGGATCGGAGATCTTATCAGAAACGTCGTCGATGCTGCCAAGTGATTGTCTGCTGAGGCTAGAAGTTTTTATAAAAAAAATGTAGAAAGATTCAAATTAGATACAAATATTTTGTAATAAACTTGTAAGAAGAAATTTATGTGTTTTTTACGTGCGGAGTAATTGTGCAGTGAAATTTTGCTTGAACGAGGACGATGAGTTTGAAACAAGAGAAAGACAAATGTAAAGACGAAGTTAAAAGTTTCACGACGATCGCCCGGTGAGTGGTAGAAATCGATTAACATTTTATGAACAGCGTGACAATAAAGGTAGAGCGACACCGAAATCTGGTGGATCCTATTTTAAAATATTAAATGAACCGCGAAGGAGACGTCCATACGAATCGCCGGTTTACCATAAGAATCAAATCGAACGAGACCGAGGGTTCTTCTATATTAATAGTTAAATAGGGCTTGGCCGAGCCTCTCGCGAAGGGAAACCAAGTTTTCCTAAATAATAAAATCCCACCTTTCGTCGATATCCATCGACTTCTTCGAAATTTAAGAGTCCCTAGGGTACTGAAACTATTCTTTATTTAACACCACTTGGTTTGGATTCGGTTTCGCTGATTTATTCATCATTGCATTTTCTTCGCTTACTCAACTTCGTCACATATTTTACATAATTTTCCTTTTACTTCTCGTTAATCAATAGTGCAACTAATTAATAAGACATTATGATAAAAGACTTGAAATATTGCATAATATGTGAAAGGTGAAAGCATATTGCAATGCTTACGTGATAAAAGATATAATAAATGTGTATCTCAAATGCATTTTCTTAATTGACATTTGTATCAAAATCTGTAGTCTACTAACTAAATTGATTATCGTATAATTTCGTTATTATAACGTGCGATATAATAAAATTCCACGAACGAGGGTAAGTTAAGGATACCCATGAGAATTAACCCTTTCTTCGCAACATATTTTCACGCAGGATACAAATATTTGACCAATCTATTAGTTTTTCCCTTCGAAATAATATTTTCTCTCGGGAACGTTTCCTCTCACAATTCGCAGTTTTCGGTTTCGCTTATGTCTGTTTTATTGCGATTCATTTGAAATTGAATTTTGTGGACGGAGTATGTGAAAAGTGATTTACGAATTTTCAGCTGCAAAACTGAGTGCTAGTTTATTAAAAAAACGGGAAAGGATTGCATTCTGATCTCGCCAATTCCTATTGATCGGAGAGAAAATGGCGAACGGTGGGCACGGGGTGGTCGTGAACGGGCTGGGTGCACCTGGTACCGGCACTCTTTCCAGGGAGGAAAGACGTCGACGCAGAAGAGCGACGCAAAAATATCGAACTGCACATGCCACGAGGTAAAATCTCCGTAAAAATACTTCCCAATTATCCATACAATTCAAATGATCGTACAATTCTATCTGATCAGCTTTTTAAACTGTCCTTAAATATCCCTACAATACAGATAATTTTAAGACATTCAGCACAATTATTTCTTTCACCTTTTACAAGTTTTAACCCTTAACGCTCCAAGTGTGCCTCTCAAGCACCTCCCAAGTTACTCAATTATAATTAATATAAATATTGTTGTTTTTTATTATTACATTAAATTATAATTAATAAAAATCAATATAAAATAAAAGAGATTCACCTTCGTGAGATAGATTAAGTAGTCAATAATATTTCTGATTGCTTATTGTCCACAGAGAAAGGGTTCGAGTGGAAGCTTTTAACTTGGCCTTCGCAGAGCTTCGGAAGCTTCTGCCGACGTTACCACCGGATAAGAAACTGTCGAAAATCGAGATCCTCCGGCTGGCTATCTGCTACATCGCCTATTTAAACCACGTCCTCGAGACTTGAGCCAACCGCGAGCTATTCTATTTTTCCAGAGCCTAATCGCGTGTCATCTGGTATGACGCGAACAATTTTTAATTAGGAGAAAATACATGGATCTTCCAAAACTGGATATTTTATAAACATGCATAATCTAATGGTTTATAAATAATCTCGTCGATTTTTATTATTCTTGTTAACAGAATATTCGTATCTATGAATTATAAATCTATATCAAATTAATATGAATGATTTTCTTATTCTCTGTTAAATACGACGAGCAGATCGTAACTTATACATATAATACGAAAGGGGCGGAAAATGGAGCAAGATGTATACATATGTATATCCTTCGTCACAATTTCAGTCTAGAGTGTAAAATAAAAATAGAGTATTATGCGTTTAAATTCAGATCTCCAGGAATTGTAAAATATGAATCCTCTTGATACGAATAAACGATAATTTAGTTTAACTTGACAATACTAGTTCGACTGTATTTCAAAATATCTCATCACTTTCTCTCTTGTTTCAAGTATTGCCTAATGGAACAACGCGTTCGGGTGCAGTTATTCGCAATTCCCCGGAAGCTGTTCGAAACTCTTAAATCAATCTTGTTCCGTGGATTAGCCCGACTCCCGGGGGGATCCTCGCGCCCCACTGGTCCATGTATCCTAAATCCTCCGCTTTAGCTGCAGTCCAACACAATCGGACTCGCTATTTACCGGTCATCGCCGAATGGAACAGACATTCCCGGAAAACCCGTGGAAACGAGTTCCAACTTAACGGCCCATCAATTTCGCTTCTCATTTCCATTATTTCTCAGTTTTTTTTTTTTTATCGTATTCGATTCCAATTCCCATTATTCCTCGGTTGCTCGTTCCTCTTCTTTGTCGTGTTCGACATAACTTTAATGGAAATAGAATATTTAGGGTGAAATGCAGGGTTTATAGTGACAAATTGTATCACAGTATCTGATTTTTTATCGATCGATTGTTTGTACTTTTTGCAAAGTGATTAAAATTCAATTCAATCATACCAAGAGAATTTGAAGACCAACATTAATCATGATAATTTTCTGTATCATCCAGTAATAATATCTGGACAGAATATACAAATAGGAATTTATTAAATAAAATACATATAAGAGCTCTCCTAGAATTCACCTTCTGACTTATAAAGACGAGTCCACGTGCTACATCTTGATATTTAACATTGAAGTTCACAGTCCTACAATATTAATCAGCCCTTCGAACATGCATATTCCCGATAGACTACTCATTACTTGACACATAGTACTTGATAACAATTTAATCGTGTTCAAGATATCGATTTGCACCTCATCGAGAAATTGCTACGTTCTTTGTTACTTAGCCTGCTATTTAATATCTACGACTCAATAATGGTTTGTCAGAAATAATTGGCGAACACGACGAGTAAGGAGGGTGAGAGTTAAACTAGTTGAAAAATTCTCTCGATTCACGATGAGCGAAACCAACGCGGCCAGAAAACTATTCGCACCGATGTTGTGGATGAATTTTTTGTGCGGAATGGGCGTGCTAGACTTGAAACCGAATCTTTTAAACAAGATTTACGAGTATGTATACACCGCGATTTCTTTGATACTGTTAAACAGTATGATAGTATTATTTTGGTCAAGGCTTGACGAAGTGAATTACAACATTCAATTAAACAAGATAGAAGACTTAGTAGGCAATACATCTTACTTCATACAAATAACGATATTAAATATAGTGATAATCCTCAGCAGAATAAACTCGCAGGTGAGCGAATTTAGATCTTGTTTGAAATAATGAGAAATACTTTTTTCTCAATGTATAAAATGAATTTATTTAGCTTGTCACAGAACATTCGAAATCTCGAATTTTAAATAAATATGCACAATGGCTCACTAAAATATTCGGACACCTTTTAAAATAGAATAATTTTTTTTAATATCGTGTCACATGACATGGTAAAGGGTTTAGCTTGCAAATTAATGAAATTGTACATTTTAACTTTTGACTGCAACTAAGAATTTTTACAAGTTACAGTGTGTTCAACTATTTTTATGCTTTCGACAATTTCGATGAAACTTCGTACATGCATGAAACTTACTTAGATTTACAAATGGTTTGTATCAAATTTCTTTCTATCCCATAGAAATTACGAAAGGTATTGGAACTCATCGAATCGTACAATCGAAAAATGGAGAACATGGGATTGGCGACTCGACATCAAGCACTGTTTATGTACCAGATAAAAATTATCTCATTATACGGGATCGCCATAATTAGTTACTTTGTAGTAATGCATATAATCTATTACAAAGGTCTTATGAAAATTACGATAGAGAGTAAATTATGCCTGACGTTTATACAGATTACAATTTCATTTTTAACTTGCGTTTCGGACATTTCCTTCTGTATCTGGATCAAGTATGGAACTGAACAGTTAATAATATAAAAGACAGGTACGATTTCGAGTTCTTTAACGTGGATATTCAAAATGAAACAGGTACTTCAGGATTAAATTTGAACAAATGAATGAGATGGTGCGCGGTATGTTAACAACGACGCCGGATTCTCCGCAGCATAGAAGAGTCTTGGGGTTGCAGTACGACTTTAAGAATAAAATGTTCACCTCGTTCAGAAATGAATCCAAACGCGGAAGCAACGCGAGTGCTTACATAATTAGAACACTAAAGTGAGATATACTTAGCTTAAACAACTTAATGAAGAAACATCAAAATAAAATACGATGATTTTCTGTTCAATAAAGGCAAAGACATTTGGAGCTGATAAAGATCGCGAGAATGATGAACACTGCATATGGAATACAGATTGCGTTGATGATGACTGTCTCATTTGTTTCTACAATTGCTCTCCTATACATGTGGTACAGGACCATATGGATGAATTATGAGATCCTCGTTCTTCTGTCTGAAACGATGCCTTTCGCCTATTACATTCTGTTTTCCTTATGGCGAATAGTTTACGAGAATCACGTGTGTGCCAAAACGTGTTCAGAGGTATAAGCCTTCAACATTTTTATTTGCGTTATGTACGGTTGCCGGAAATTCGGGCATCTAAGTCTCGAGTCGAGTCGGGCAAGACTCCTAAAATGAGATCACCATGGAACTGATTTTAAAATTTTAAATTCGAATGTGTTTTCATCCGGAATCTCGGGATCCGAATATCAACTCTGGTCCTGAATTAGACTTGAGATTCAAAATTCGGTATCGGAATCGAATTTTGAATCTCAGGTCTAATTCAGGACCCTAGTTTGTATTCGGATCCCGAAATTCCGGATACCCGAACGAAATGTATTCGACAAATTTTCGGAATTCTAGCCGAACTCATAAAATTCTCGATCCCTGCTTTTATCATTGTTCTTAATTTTTCGTAGGCACTTGAGATCGGCGATATTATTTGCGAACTTCATGAACCATCAGCTAGCAAAGAATTTCGTACGGAGGTAAAATATGTGTTATTACATGTACAATTACAAATGGTTCGTCAAAGAAGAGATTATATATATTAATTTTAGATTAAACGACGCTTGTTTCAGATCCAGGATTTTACTTTACAGCTGATACAGAATCCATTGATATTCACTGGCTACGGATTTTTCGACTTGGGCCACGCATTTATTCAAGAGGTACGTATTTAAATCGAATTCTTCTTCGTTCAATGAGATTAAAACGTGCCATTTTTTAATTGCTTTTCAGACAGTAGGCTCGATCACCACGTACCTCGTAATTCTGATTCAAGTAGGAGACATGTCGACTATGTTCACAGAAACTGGGAACAATAATAGTACCGAAAATGGAACTTCACCAATGCAAAACGAAGATCTTTAAAATTTTTTAAATTCTATCAAACCTCCTTCCTCTGACATCGTAATTATCAGTCAGCTAATCTTTATGCAAAAGAAAATGTTTGTGATGACAATTTAAAAATGAAATCTCTTAAGAGATAATCGTGTGTATGACATTTTTGTATCTTTTACACTCTCTGCAGATGTACAAAGTCTGTTAATGACCTACGCGTTGTATTCACTGATTATAATTCTAAGTTGCATAGTGTGTAGCAAATAGTGAATTAAACCATCGAATCTAGAGAAGGTATTTTCAATTGTCCTGACCAAGGTACTTAAAGCTTTTCAGATCGTTCGCCCTAGCAATTTTCCGCCAATTAGAACGTGGACAGGGATGATGCGTCAATTACTCTGCCCCATAGAACGACCTATGCAATTCCAGATGGAGGCGTTAGCCCGTGAAATTCGGTAATCTTGAAACTCGATAGCTTGTAATTCGAAGGAGACAGCTATCTACTTCTTCCAACCCCTGACCGACGCCTAACAGGGGAAAATAGTTACAAGTTTCAATTGATTTTTCCTATCTTTCAGCCGATCGGAACGATAAATAATTGATAAAAAAAAGTTGAAGCAGAAAGAGAATATATAAAACTTTGCATAATGCTAGCAATTTTCCAAGTAGATAAAAATCGTATATGGAAATGGGTTCTCCCGTATCAATTCGTATTACATCGGTTCATCATTTTTTCACATAGTTTAGTATTGCAATACACGGAACGCGAAGCTTGCGTTTACAACGGTATAACATTAATTGGGAATTAAGGGTGCGAACGAGGGTGACTGTCAGGAGCCACCTGCTACCGTGCAACACTGATGGGGCGAGAATTGATATATTGCACCCAAGGGGACGTAAAGGCCAGTTTAGATGGGTGCAAGTACCGTACATCCCTAATCCTCTCCCATCTCGTTAACTAACATTCGTAAGAGACACCTCGGCTTTGTTACCGATTAAATTATTCCAGTCAGTGCGATTGAAACCGCGGCAGCGTTGCACCCACTTTTATATAATTCGTGTTCATAATTCATTTCGACTTAAACATTTTTGACAAATTTTGAAGAATTCATTAAAAATTAAAATTTCCTTAATTTGAATGTTCAAATTTTCATATCTGTTTGGAAATTTATATTTAATTTTAGAAATGAACAAGTAACGAAATTTTTCCTACGTACAAACTTGTGAGAGGCCGATTGAACAACAGAGGAACAGATTTTGTTGACCGAGGCATATGGGACGGATTAGGCCAGGAAATTTTAGAAGAGTAAACGCAAACAGGCTGCTACGATTCTAATAATCCGCAAACGTCGTTTATCATGTCAAAACGGAGATTCGCCCTAACAATTGAACCACTCCTACTCAAGGGTGCGGGCATTCGATCACGCCGTATTCTAGTTTAACGTTTACCCGGCTTGTTTATTGGCATCGAATCGGGCGTGTTTCAACAACGGTGTAGAAAAAAAGGACAGAGTATAAAATAATCTGTTTTAATAACAAATTATATATATTTATTTACATATTACAAGTATTTACAATGTGTGCCATTATCATTATTGTTTCTTGCCGTATTTTAATTTATTCTTCAATTTCTTCGGATTTATTCCATACGTCTTTAATCGTTCAGGATTTAACGAAGAAATGTCGTTGTTACTTTCATTACTTCTAAATTCCTTGTATTTAGTTTTATTCAATTTGTTTTTCTTTAATTTCGTTTTCTTCGAGTGCTTAATATTCGTTTCGTTCGTCAATAAAGATTTTTGTTCAATGGATGTATCAGTATCTTTATTCTTTTCGTGTGTTTCGTTTTCGTGTGTTTCGTTCTTAGATTCTTTCTGATCAACAGTTTTCTGTTTCTTCTTCTTCGGCTGCTCGGTGTGATTCTCTGTTTGCTTCCGTTTTTCACTCGATTCCTTCTGACTTTTATTGTGGTTTTTATTATCTGTAGATCCTTCGCGATTAACTACGGTAGAAGACGAATCCTCATGAGATTCTCCTGTCTTTTTCTTCTTCCTTCGACGTTTCTTCTTCGCTCCTGTGTTTTCCTCTGTAGTGACTTCCTCTTTATCTTCTTCTCCTTCCTCCGGTTCACTGAAATACATTAAACAAGATTTATACAAAAAACACTAAATGTATCTAAAAACGATTTTCTTTCTCCTCTTCTTACGCGTATAAACTTCGAAGTATCTTCTTTTTAGCTGCTTCATTCTTTGCTTTCTGTTTGTACATTTGAACATCGTTCAATTCTGCGTGCTCCGTCTTGTATTGAAGAGCTTTCTTCAATGAACACCATTTGTTGAGTTCTTTATCGTCAGCCATTAATATCTGATGGAAATAATGTATCAAAATTGTTTATAAGATAAGAAAATGATATTAAATTCAATAATAAAATCAATTCTTACCTCCTCCACGCTCAAGCCGTAATCATTTGGTACTACCTTCCTGTACTTGAATCTGCACGGTATATCATCAATCATATCTTCGTAATCCAACGAATAATACTTGTCAAGGTAATCTCCGTAGGATTTATATTGTTGAGGATCAAATTTCGGTTTCTCTTTCGCCATGAGTTCAGCGAACTTCGATTTTCGTCTACGTTTCCGTTTTTTTGATCCCTCTTCTTCGTCTTGAATTTTCTTCGATCCATCGTAATCGGCATCCATCTGAAATTATATGATAAGCTTTAACGTTTTTATTTAAAATAAAACATTTACAAATCAATTACATTAAAATCTGGATCCTCGCAATGCGGTCCATCGTGTCCTTCTTGATATGCATAACTCTCATCATTTGGATCATAATTATCCCACGTATCTTCAATTTCTAGTTCCTCATCGATATCCGGAAACTCCGGTTTAACGTCACTTTCAGGAGCCGCATAATAATCTTCATTAAAAATCTGCGTCATCTTTTTATCGTATTCGGCAGGGTCGAAGTCACCCTCCAAATCGATATCATTAAATTGCATATCATCATTTCCTGTAATTTCCTTTAATTTCTCGATTTTCTCCTCGATCTCTTTTCTCTTTAATGCCTTCAATTGTTTGAGTTCCTCTTTCTTCCTTATCTTATCTTCTTCCTTCCTCTTTTTCACCTCTGCTCTTTTCTCCGCTCGGCGACTGTCTTTCCTTCTTAACGAATTCTCCATAGTACGCGGATATCGTTTGATAAATTCCTGATCGGGTTCTTCAAATCGAAAATTATATTTGTGCTCGAATTCTTCTTGCTTCTCGATGTTCCTCTCATCCTCCGATAAGTTTTCATCACTATCATGAACTCCATCAGCTGCCTCTGTGTTCTCATCCAAAACTGCGTAATCGTTATCTAGATATTTATTGTGAAGCACATAATCTCTCAAGAACTTTTCATTCGCATCTAGATTAGGATTTGACCAAAAATCGCGCAAGGGCTTGAGCACCTCTTGTTCATTATCATTTATCTCCACCTTTTGCCCTTTTAACCATTCTTTATAATCAGCCTCTTCCTACAAAATGATAAAATAAGATATTTGTTTCATAACAAGATATTTGAAGTGGACTTACTTTCTGCTTTTCACTCTCAGATTTGGTTTTTGGTTTCAGTAAATCATCATCCTCGTCCTTATCATTCAACGCAACTTTGAAACTTTCCTTCAGCTGTTTCTGTTCTTGCACGTAAGTGACCCTTTTAGATTCTTCCCTGTTCTTTTTCAAAATACTTTCATCTTCGCTGTCACTCAATTTTCCTTCTTTCTCTATGATAAGTTTCCTCTCATAATCTCTCAAGAAAACTGTTTCGTCTTTCTTAGCTTTCTCCTTCTTCTTCTCAATGAGTAATTCCTGAGTCTTGTTAGTATCGTCAAAAAATGTTACATCCTGATTATAAATCTTTGGATCTTTATTTTTTAAGAGAGCCAGGGTCTTGTAAAAATCTTTATCGAACTGTTGTGTCAGCTCCTATAACAATAAGCCTAGTTTAAAAATGATCTGGGAAAATGAGTACTCTTAAAAATTGTCTCATACATTTTCTTCTCCTTCCTCAGAGGAACTCTCGCTTTCTGAACTTTCGTCTGATATTTCATTTTCATTGATATCACCATATTTTGTTTTCACTGATATAAAAAACAATTTTAGTCACAAGAATAACAGGTAAAGTTGCTTACGTCAGTATGTATACTTACATTTATTTAACTCTTCTTTTTGTCGCCAGTTATTGTAATTTTTCGCGTAATCTGTATTTATCTTTAATTCTCCGTCGGAATCAGAATTATCGCCGTTAAACAGAGTAGTCATTTTTCCAGTTCAACGATTCATCGAAAAACGTGATTGATAAAGAAATTTTACGAATTCAACCTTTTCGGTTCTAAATATGTTAAGTTTAAATCGAGGATAATTGTACAGACGATACTTTCGTTTCAAATTCTAAGAACCACGATTTATTTTTCTAATGAGCTGTATTCTCTCACGTGATAGTAAAACGAATTGGGAAGGTTATGTCTCGCGTAAACGAAAAGCCACATGTTAGATGTTGCTACTTGCTGAAGTAGGATACCGAAAATCACCTTTCGTATAAAATTGGAAAACGGATTATCCTTATTTTCTTATTGAAAGGTTTGTGAATAATAATTTGTAGGCAGACAACAGATTTCATAAATTATAAAATATTTATTCGTCATAAGTCACTCACACTACATTAAACGTACACACAATACAAAGAAAAACTGAATTGAATAAAAATATCCAATAATAAAGTAATTTATGTTATGTAACAAGCGATATAATAATTTCTGATAATAAATGTAACTGAAAGTTCATTTTATTCGAAGAAATGGAAAACTTCTTAAACATTCATTATAAACTTTGTACGCAGGTGCTCTCCTAAATATTTACAATTGTTTATACATATTTACAAAAGTTTATATATTGGTTAGTACAAGCTAAAGTATGGAATTTTCAGTTTACAACATATATTTATGTACAAAATACAAATGGGGACAATAATGAGCTTTATCATGTACTAACCAAGACATGATTACAAATATCATAAAAATATCAAAAAATCATAGATAAAACGTATCTATTTAATTTTGCCATTCTATTCTTACTCATATATAGACATTCACATCACAAATTTACAGACTTGTTCGTATGGTAATTTTCTAACAACGGTCCCATCCCTTTCCAATTTTATATCTATACTGTAATCTTCTATGTGAAGTTTATGTACAACACCGCTCATGCCCTTATGTCTCCCCCAAAGAATCATTACTTCTTTCCCAATGGCAGGTATCACGGTCTCTAAATGCTCCTGATCTATTTTTATAACATGACTCTCGACTTCCTCCGGAGACTTTAATTTCACCTTCCCAACGAATTTCGATTTCTCAGTAGATTGAACTACTCCTTTTGATTTATAATATTTGGTTCCGAGAGTTTTCGTGATTATTTTCACCATTAAACCCTCTCTCAGCCATCCTTCCTCATCTTTGTCACGATCGTCGTGTTCATATTTACGTTTTTCTGATTTTACAAGACTTGTTCCTGTATCCGTTTCATCTTCACTCAGCTTCTCAGATTTTATGGAAATCGTAGAAGTTGATTCACTGATAGAACTTCTATCTATCTTCTCCTGTTTTATAATAGGAAGTACTTTTGGTTTCTTATTTAATTTTATATTAAGAACCAAAGGCGTATCATCTTCAGGTCGCACCAGAGGTTCCTTAACGGTTTCAGATGGTCCGCTAGCTTCTTGACCTTTCTCCACTTGTTTCTCAATGAATTCCATCATCCTCTCTTCGTCGTCCTTATCCATCTTTTGTTTTTTAGCTTTCCTTTCTTGAGCTGCCAATGTTTCTGGATCTCTATCAATGTAAGTTACGTACCACCCTACAAGAACAGAAACATACACATAATGTTAATGTTAATTGCTCATAATGTTAATTTATTCTTAAAATACATTTATACAAGTGAAATATGAAATTGTTACCTTTCTCTGTCTCATCGACGACGCATTGTCCAGTACGTCCAAGCCATTTTACAAATGCAGTAAGTGTAAGCCAGATTGTAGCATTCATGTGTATGTGTCCTCTATCAGAGATGTATTCTTGATAGACACGATTAGCTGGTACTCTTCTAGTACCAAATTGTCTCTTCAATAAATTCAAATAACCATGGGAAAACTCCTTTGAAAATTGATCCATATAGCGGGATGCATTGTCAGCGAACAGTAGTAGTTGCCGGTGATGAGATTCTGACATTGTGTGACATTTAAATCCATTTTCGTCTCTGCACTGCTTTTGACACATTTGACAATACCATCTCAGCTTCTGCAAGCCCTTTGCCTTAATTTTGTTGGCAATGTATTTTGGAGTTCCGACTTCGTGCTTCCCCATTATTTAAATTATTGCTAGAATTAAAATATGATAGTTAATTCTAAAGAAATTGACTCAGTATAGGTTAGAAATTGCAATGTAGCGTTATTACAATTTCTCCTTTACTTATATTTAATTGTATGAAACGATTTTTATAAAATGCAAATGATCTGAAAATGAAGATCAGCAAAGATTTTAATACTTACAAACACTTATTTTATTGATACACTCAGATATGATAGGAGATACGAGACATTTGCTAACTGGAACACACACAATGCATCCAGTGCAGTGCAGGTGCAGGTTAGCGCAGATACGAACGGTACGAACTTGTCCGAACTCCGAACCCGAACCTAAGCGACAGACAAAGAGAAGAGACAGCAAAGAGAATGAGAAAGCGTGGCGAAAGTTTGCACGATGAAAGGAGTAGCCGGAGTAGGGCCAGAGCCTGCGCACAGCCGGAATGGCCAGGTGGTCGGTTTGAGGACAATGAAGACGGAAGCCAACGAGAATTACTCCTTCCACTTACGTATACTATCGAACTGCATCCGTGTGTTCCAAGCTTTGCTCAAGTTCGGCTTAATAGAGAGAGAAGGCGAAATTTCCTCTCTGCTACTAACGATACTCTACAACCGATCTCAATATTGACAATATACATTAAAACAGATTTTTAAAGTACATCATACAAAAGGGCCTATCTGGATAAGGGGGTCAAATGTGCCCTTGATTCGAATGAAGCGCCGTCATAATCAGAAAGAAACCGAAGGACACAGTCAGTTGTCCTCTTTTCCCTCCCCCAATCTCTGCTTGAGGACACCGAGAAGATTATAGTTTCTGGATTTCTGTTTATAACTTAATCCTTAACATCGAAGAGAAAGTATAATCTCCTCGGTGTTCTTAAGCACAGATGGAGGGTGAGAAAAAAGGACAACTGATCGTGCTTCCTGGTTTTTTCCGCGTCATGGTTATTAGCCTCTTTTAACTAATTTATGATTCTCTTAAAGGAAGAAATCGAGACTAGAGTAGATATAAGTAATAAATTGTACTGTATCCAAAAGCCCTTTCTCCTTCTTTCATTCCTCCTTTTCCCCACCTTCGAGCATATATCGATCTTCTTAAAGGTAACGAAGTTGTGATACTCCTAGGAGACCCCATTGCCTTGTACTAAATCGTGTCCAGTTATCGATGCAACGCGAAAGAGAAACGGTAACGCTGCGTCAAGCACTTCGTTCCACGGCTATATTGAATAAAATCAAGGAACGGAGAAATAAAATACCAGAATTTAAATAGAGATGATAAAGTATCGATTAAGTTACCAATTTCTACACAGTGCTGTAGTTTTATAGATAAAATGTGTGAGACGTGAAAACGAACATTCTTGTTGT